CGAACTGGACCTTGGAGCAGTAGAAGAAGGTTGCCTGGTCTGATGAGTCCCATTTTACATCACGTGGACGGCCATGTACGTGTGCTCTATTTACCTGGGGAAGTGATGTCACCAGGATGCACTGTGGGACGATGACAAGCCAGTGGAGGGAGTGTGATGCTCTGGACAATGTTCTGCTGAGAATCCCTGGGTCCGGCCATTCATGTGGACGTAAATTTGACGCACCTACATAAACATTGTTGCAGACCAGGTACAGCCCTTCATGACAATAGTGTTCCCTGGTGGAAGTGGCCTCTTTCAGCAGGATAATACACCCTGCCTGCCACACTGCACACATTGTTTAGGAATGGTTTGAGGAACATGATGAAGAGTTCAAGGTGTTGTCCTGCCCTCCAAATTCCCCAGATCTCAATCCAGTTCAGCATCTGTGAGATGTGCTGGACCAACAAGTTCGATCCACAGCAGCTTCTCCTCACAACCTACAGGACTTGAAGGATCTGCTGCTAACGTCTTGGTACCAAATACCACAGGACATCTTCAGGGGTCTTGTAGAGGCCATGCCTAGGCAGGTCGGTACTGTTCTGTGGCACGCAGAAGACCAACAGCATATTAGGCAGGTGGTATGCTTGCAGTGTGTTGAATCATTTGTGTGCTTGTGTTTATTTTGGCCTTTAATGCAGTTAGTGGATTTTGAAGGCGCTTGTGAGATTTGTGTGTGCATTATAGAGCAATACAGTATGAAGATGTTTGTGATATTTCTGTCAGGTAAGACAAGTTTGGCTTCTTCTCAATGTACACTGTTACCGGTCCATGAAAGATCTGAGATGCCTCGACTCCGCTCAGTATGTGAGGCTGTTGGAGTGTGTCTGCGTGATTGGTGTGGTGGATTTTCAGGCTTGTCTCCTCAGGCTTCGCCTACAGCTACAGAGATGGAGGTCTCCTCAGACAACCACAGCAGAAGCCTGAAGCCAAGCGCTCAGCTGTTGCGTTTGAGTGGTCGCCCTCAGGGGGTGTCTTTCAGATACAGGTATTTTACAGCAGATGTTGGTCCACTTTCAGTGTTGGAGAGTCTGCAAGTTTGACGGTTCAGCAAACACAATAATCTGCTACTTAGACAATGAACTCTCTTGTGAAATGAGGCCTTGTACTGTACTTCTAAATTTAAAACCTGTCACACATTGGGCCCTATCTTGCACTCAGCGCAATTGACTTTGTACACCGAAGCATGTATCATTCCTATTTTGCACCCGTGCAAAGCGGGCTTTTCCCTCCACAGACGCACGTCGGTAAACTAGGAAATGAACTTGCGCTCCCTGGGTGGGTCGGCGCAAAAAGGAGGCGTGTTTCGGCGCAAACATTCCCTAGTGCTATTTTGCAGTTCCAGAAAACAATTGCGCCTCTGACCAGAAAAAACCTAGTCTAAAGTCAGTGGCGCGTTGCGCGTTGTTCATAATGCTATTTTAAGGCCATGCTTGGGTACGCGCCATGCACACCCATGCACAACGCGCATACACTTTGATTCTCTCATCAACACAGATGCAGCAGTTTTTATTTTTGCAAATCATACATTATAACAAATAAAAATATTAACACATGTGGTCTCCATGAAGATGTAAAAAAATGTAGTTTTTTTCCTCCCACGCCTGTTTAACCGACGCTGATTTGGGTGGGTTTCTCCCATCCCCATACAACGTCACTTCTCTGTCTTACACGGTCCTGACAAGAACGTCGGTCTCCTCGGCTGTGAACCGCTCCTGGCGCGCGCCTGGTAAATCCGCCGTTATAATAGGAATCCGCCATGCAACATGCGCACCTGCTCTTAAAGGGAATGTGAGATGACGCTCTGATTGGTTTATTTCACGTTACGCCCAAACCACACCTATGAATAATGAAGCTACTTCAGACCAACCCCTTTTAGATTTGCGCCAGGCGCAAGAGGCATTTATCCCGCCGGGAAAATAGCAACAGCGCCGGGATCCGCCCACAAAGTTACTTGCGCTTTGCGCTTTGACACTTGCGTTTCAGATCGTTAAAATAGGGCCCATTGTGTTAAAGGATTGCACCTTCTAACAGGAGTTTCCCCGTCTGTTGTTCTGGTGTGTACGAGTGGGCCGCAGGGGTCAGAGGTCATGGCTGCAGTGCTTGTTGTCGTGGTGACCAACATGGCATGTTTCGTAACTGTGAGAATGTGGCGTTGTGCGGGATGGGAGAGGCGTTCGAGTGTGATTGTGTGTGTGTCATATGGGCTGGGTCAGAAGCTGTCTGTCAAACACCCACACCTTCACACATTCTGCTATGTGTGTGTGTGTGTGAGGGGCTCCACACCAAATGTTCCTCTGATACAGTATGTGTATTCCTCTAATCCCCTTTCCTTTCCCCTCATTTCCTTTCCTTTTTTTTCTCTTCTTTCTCTTCTTTTTTGTCTGTTCCTTTCCTTTCATTTTCTTTTCTTTTTGTCTGTTCCCTTTCCTTTCCCTTTTTCTCTTATTTTTTGTCTTTTCCTTTCCTCTTTTTTGTCTGTTCATTTTCCTTTTCTTTCCTTTCATTTTTCATTTTCCCTTATCTTGTCTTTTTCTCTTCTCTTCTTTTATCGTCGCTTCGATTTTGTCATTTTCTTTTCTTTTCCTCTCTTCTTTTTTGTCTTATTCTCTTGTTCGTTTCTTTAGCTTTTTTCTTGTCCTTTTCCTTTCGTTTCTTCTTTTCCTTTTCCCTCATTTCTTTTCTTCTTTTTTGTTCCCTTTACTTCTAATGTGCTCTTTTCTATCTTTCCATATATGTCTAATCTCCTCTCCTCCCCTTATTTATTAAACGACTAAATGAATAAGTCCGCGGGTGAGTAGATGGATAGATAAAAGAACAGAGTAATAAAGTGGACCCGACCCTCTAAACTTTTAATGAGCTGTATAGCATCTAATTAATTTCTTCAAAGGCTGCAGATATTCAAGAACAGAGGTCTGATTTCACATGCGGCGCAGGTCACACTCCTTCATATGGATAGAAGGAGGGATGAATTATCCTGTCCTCTCTCATTAAAGGATAGACACACTCCCTCCCTTTCTCGCACATCTTCCATCTCACACCATTTATTAATTTCCGTCATCCATCTTTGTATGTAAATTGATGTGTAGTAATCACACCCACATCTTAAACTCTCCATATAGCTCATGTTTGCTCCTTAATTCATATTTATGAGTTTGATGCATATTCATGGCATGCAAATAACAGTTCTAAATGCGAACAGGTCGATCCAGGTCCATTGCGACCTGAAACGTCCCGTCTGTCACTGCTGTAATGCCAGTTAATCAAGGTATTAACGGCATATTACATTGATCTAGTGCTGACATGAAATATTGCTTGGTGGAGAGTGTGTGAACATTGTTCCCCAAAGCAAAAAGTGGTTGTATTATGGACAAATGTTGAATGAATATAATGTTTTAAAAGTCTTAAAGGTCAGTAGCAAAAAACATCCTGTTTAATTCTGAACGACTGTTTTGGTGCAAGAAACCTTAAGTAAAAAAAAAACCTTGTCTGGAATATGACTTATTTAGGATCAATATGAAATGTTTTTCTTTCTTTCTTGATCCGTGTCAGCAGCAGTACACTGTGATCAGATCACGCAGACCCGAGTCCTGATCCGTGTGGTCATCCAGCTGAACCAGCAGAAAGTGTTCCTCTCAAATAGCTGCAGAATTAATGATAAACGAGTACAGGAAACACTTTATTCAGCTCTTTATTCAGAGAGATAAACCCGACCTGGAAAAGCAAGCAGAATTTATTCACTACTCTCTGCCGTGCCTCAGAAGCCCTGAAAGTAAAGTTCAGCATGTCTATAATATTTGGATGCTGAAGTGCTCTTTCTAAAGCTTAAAAAGAATGACTAAATTTGTTAAATGTGCTTAAAGTGATGTTTTTTGGTATGCCATGCACAAAATGGCCCTAAGTGACAGAAATAACTGAAATAGTGACACATCACCCCTGTTTCTGGCAGCCCTATACAGAAAATGAAAAAGAGAGACATATCCAAGTGGATTTTAAATGCATTTTTTTAATGCATATGTATTTGCATGTTTATTTCAAAATATATATAGCCATATATTGAGAGCAGTTTTATTATTATTATTATTATATTTTTTTAGGTGCATTTTCATTTAAAATTCATTGGGCTCCAAATCTAAGCAGGCATGTTTAAACACAAAAATGGTATATGCAGGACAGTGAAACACAAATGCAAGAACACACTTTGTGCGAATGCCAAAAAAGAGTCAGGGAGCAGCTTGTGTGTGCGTGTGTGTGTGCGTGTGTGTGTGTGTGTGTGTGTGTGTGTGTGTGTGTGTGTGTGTGTGTGTGTGTGTGTGTGTGTGTGTGTGTGTGTGTGTGTGTGTGTGTGTTTTTAAAATCCAATCAGAAAACACTGTCTTTTTTCTCCTTTGCTTTTGCAGACATCAGGTTGGCTGATGTGTCTTGGGAGCACCTTTGCTCTGTATCGCTCATTTCACTTGAAATAGGCCTCGCAAACAGAAAATGTCTCACCTTGCACTCAAACTGAAACAAAAACACGCTTTGCTCTCATGAACGCAGTTTTTGTCTGTAGCAAACTGACACTGACTCCTTCAGACACTGTGCTAGTAATGCATTGCATAAGAATGGCATGGTCAAATTGTATCCCAACTGGCATATTAATAGTGAACATCCTGTGTTTCTCACTCCTAAAGCTTATAATGTTATTCCTGGTTGTCACCATGTTGCAAAAAAAGACATCATGTTCTTGTCCAGATGTAAACACAAGGTTATGAGATTTACTAGACAAGGATGAACATATTTACATTTTTTGCAGGAAAGCCAAGTTCATCTACAAGTTCTCCTGCTAATTTTTCCTAATATTCCAGATGAAATGTGTCTCCTAATTGGGATTTTGAAGGTGTTTGATTGAAGCAGTGAGGAAAATTATCAGAATAGCTCACTAACAAGATCTCTCTCTCTCTCTCTCTCTCTCTCTTTAGCTTGTCCTCCAGGAACGTTCAAGTCCAGTCAAGGGACAGGTTTGTGTCTTCAGTGTCCGTCTAACAGTAGGTCCACATCTGAAGCGGCCACCATCTGCGTCTGCAGGAACGGCTACTACAGAGCAGACGGAGAGCAGCCAGACATGCCCTGCACCAGTGAGTCATTATCATCATCATATTACTGTTATTGTCATTATCATTAGCATTAAACTGAAGCGGTCGGTCATAACATCGTTTTAGAAGCAGTTTGAGAGCACAGGTCTCTACTACCAATAAGTTGTAGCCCAAACCGAGACCGCTAATGAGATCAACTGAGCAATCCTGAGAAAAAGAAAAAAAATTGGCTGTTTCGATTTTGACCCAAGTGGGTTTTAAATGTAAAGTGCAACTTTACAAAAAAAAAGGAATAATATATATACACTCACCGGCCACTTTATTAGGTACACCTGTCCAACTGCTCGTTAACACTTAATTTCTAAGCAGCCAATCACATGGCGGCAACTCAGTGCATTTAGGCATGTAGACATGGTCAAGACAATCTCCTGCAGTTCAAACCGAGCATCAGTATGGGGAAGAAAGGTGATTTGAGTGACTTTGAACGTGGCATGATTGTTGGTGCCAGAAGGGCTGGTCTGAGTATTTCAGAAACTGCTAATCTACTGGGATTTTCACGCACAACCATCTCTAGGGTTTACAGAGAATGGTCCGAAAAAGAAAAAACATCCAGTGAGCGGCAGTTCTGTGGGCGGAAATGCCTTGTTGATGCCAGAGGTCAGAGGAGAATGGCCAGACTGGTTCGAGCTGATAGAAGGGCAACAGTGACTGAAATAACCACTCGTTACAACCGAGGTATGCAGCAAAGCATTTGTGAAGCCACAACACGCACAACCTTGAGGCGGATGGGCTACAAGAGCAGAAGACTCCACCGGGTACCACTCATCTCCACTACAAATAGGAAAAAGAGGCTACAATTTGCAAGAGCTCACCAAAATTGAACAGTTGAAGACTGGAAAAATGTTGCCTGGTCTGATGAGTCTCGATTTCTGTTGAGACATTCAGATGTTAGAGTCAGAATTTGGCGTAAACAGAATGAGAACATGGAACCATCATGCCTTGTTACCACTGTGCAGGCTGGTGGTGGTGGTGTAATGGTGTGGGGGATGTTTTCCTGGCACACTTTAGGCCCCTTAGTGCCAATTGGGCATCGTTTAAATGCCACGGCCTACCTGAGCATTGTTTCTGACCATGTCCATCCCTTTATGGCCACCATGTACCCATCCTCTGATGGCTACTTCCACCATGTCACAAAGCTCTAATCATTTCAAATTGGTTTCTTGAACATGACAATGAGTTCACTGTACTAAAATGGCCTCCACAGTCACCAGATCTCAACCCAATAGAGCATCTTTGGGATGTGGTGGAACGGGAGATTCGCATCATGGATGTGCAGCCGACAAATCTGCGGCAACTGTGTGATGCCATCATGTCAATATGGACCAAACTCCCTGAGGAATGCTTCCAGCACCTTGTTGAATCTATGCCACGAAGAATTGAGGCAGTTCTGAAGGCAAAAGGGGGTCCAACCCGTTACTAGCATGGGGTACCTAATAAAGTGGCCGGTGAGTGTATATATATATATTCTGTATATATTAAAAAGACAATTTTTTTAATAAAAAGTATTTATTTATTAATCCACTTCGATTTTTCATATGTTTCATTATACAGTATATTTGACATTATGTATCTCTTTATTTTCATTCATGAGAAAAGTTGTCAATATTGTTTTTGTTTTTTCCATATGAATGCAAAATTGAAGTCATTACTGAGAGGCTGTGAGGCTTACAAGATTGCACACACACACACACACACACACACACACACACACACACACACACACACACACACACACACACACACACTGCAATTAACAGTTATACAATTCTCATGTATAATTTGATCAGTAGTTTTCCCAAATTTTCAATCACAAATTCAGTAATGCAGAGCCAGTTTTATCTAGGCATTCCTGGGTTACAATCTGGCTTTTGTTGCAAGCTAGATTTGAACTCACAAGCACTGCAGATCACAGTGTTGGCGTGTCTTTTTTTTTTTTCATTTCATGAAGAGCACCATTGGTATCTTAATGAATTTATGACATAATATAATGTTTTAATTTAGCAAATGGTGTGATCTGAATTGTCTTATCAAATAGTCACCATTTTAAAAAGCAATATGCATTTGAAACTCTGCTAAATATTGTCTATATTAATTTATCACAGTGTGAATGCATTCATCTTTAAAAGGATAGAGGACTATATTTGCATCATTTGTGACTGTATTCTCAGATATATTGTACCTTATCGCTGAATCGAAGGAATATGAGGCTGCACTCTAAAAGTGCCTGTTCGTGTTTGCATTCCTGAAGAGCTGTGTTTGAAAGTCCTCAGCATTTTTATTCTCCATTTAGAGTCTAAAATGGCGTTCAGTGAAACATATACAGATGGCCATTTGCAATTTAGCCCAACACCTGCTCAGAGGAAGGCCCATGCAACACCTGGTCATTTTACTGTCGGTGAGAAAATGATTAAAAATGAATATTTCTCTATGAACTGCTGCTAGAAATTCCTTGTGGAGCGTCTAGCAGCCACAGAAATATATTTAAACGAATATATAAAAGGGAAAGGGTCTGCGGTCTGATTAACACTATGATCGATTGCTGAGAGAGAGAGTCCACAGGAATCGATCATAACACCCCAACATGCATGTAGTGAATTACATCATCTCAACTTCAGTGTAAAGTTAAATTTCACTTCCTCCGCGGTCTCTCTGTACTCCCCCCTCTCTCTCTCTCTCTCTCTCTCTGGGGATTTGTGGTTGTCTCTGTGGGGAGTAGTGCTGTGGGACTGGCCTGAATCGCCTCGAGCCTCCATCAGAACTTAAATAAAACATTCCTCAGAAATGTCTGCTGGCAGTGTACAGTATGTGTGTGTGTTGATGGGTGACAGCTCACTGGTTAATTGGAGGATGCCGGACAGCACAATCCTCAAGATTAATTCTCCAGGAGCTACGTTCGGCAAACAGTTCTGTTCTGGGGTTTGTTTGTGCGTGTAGATGGAGCATTCTCTCTTGGATTTAGCCGTTTCGATTGGCCGAGCAAGAGCAGAACTTGTTATCTGGGGCTTGGTTGGTGACAAGTCTGGGTTCGATGCAACTAATGCGTTTCACGTAAGGTTTACATGGAACGCCGGTTACTGTGAGAGTGTATGTGGAAGTTTTCTTTGCTATATTTTTTAGAACAAAATTGTCCCTAAAAATCAGCTAAATTTAATGAAACCTCTCTTTGCCGTTATTCAGGGTAATCCACAATTGGAAAATAACTGATAAATAATGGTTTTATGTATTTATCTGTATATATTTATATATATTTTTCATTTTTTTTATTATAAAAATGCATTTAATGCATATAATAGTAATTGTGTGTGTATGTGTATATATATATATATATATATATAAATATATATATATATATATATATTTGGCTGTATTTTAAGAAATAGTTGTATGTCCTCAATTAGAAAAACAATTAATGTTTAAACAACTATTTAAATAATAATAATTATTATTATTAGTAGTAGAATTGTTATTCTTGTTGTTAATAATAATAATAATCATTCATTTTATTCTAAACATGCTGCTCTTTTATGGTTAGGGTGGGAATGTGGGTAAGTGTTAGTTTGTTAACATTCATTATTTTTGTATATAAAAACAATATAAGTCTATGGCATGTCCTCATATAGATAATAATGTGTGTGTGTGTGTACTGCATATGTGTGGATAAAGCATTCTCTCTTTGTTTGTTTGGCCGTGTCAGAGCAGAAATGGTTATCTGAGGATTGGTTGGCCAACACGGTCTGGATTTGATGAAGCTAATATGTCTAGGCTTATATGGAACACTGGTTGCTGTTTGAATGTTGGTTTATTGGTGTGGAATTGTCGCCAGAAGCTGAATCTGATAAAGCCTGGCTTTAGGGGCGTCCAGAAAAGATTCAAAAGATTCGTAAAATAAATAATGCATTTTAGTCTGTGGTTAGAGATAGACTGTAGTCTTTGTAATTAGTTGTATATATATATATATAATATATATATAATAATAGTATAATATAATATAATAAGGAATCATATAATATATATATATATATAATTTTAACATTTTTATATATATATATATATATATATATATAAAAAAAAAATGTTAAAATTTGATTTAATGTCCTCATTTAGATGGCTAATTATTGTATTTTCAGCAGCACTGATATCTGGTATAGGTTCATGTGTAGTTCATGTGATTCACACACACACACTTACAGATATAAGAGCACTAAGGCGATTGCGCTTAGACAGATCCCTGGAGAACACTTCTATGGATTGCTCCGAGCCAGTGCACACACACACACATACACACACACGGTTGACCTGCAGGAGTCCGTGTTGTGTGTACAGGTGCAGTGAACAGGACTGTAAAGCAGTGTAATTGCTTTGCTGCCGTTAATCCTCTGCCAGCGACGTCTGACTCGCTGTGATTCTGCTATGAGCTTAAGCCTGTGTACACGCTTTCTTCAGCAGCCCGCGTGTAGTGCAGCGCTACAAACCATCACACACACACACAGATGTGCACATCCACACACACAGAGTTCCCAAAAAGTCAAACATCTGCAAACTAATGCTGCTAGAGCTTTTCTCAGAAATTATTTCACTTTTTCGAGCCGTTTCTTGCAGTGATTTTTAGTGGATGAATGAAGTCTGTTCTCCTCAAGTTTGTTTGTGTTTACGTGACTCATCTTGATTTTTGAAATAGCTGAAGATTGCCTATACGTAAATACATATTTCCGTTTACAAACCTAGTGGATTGAGTTTCTGAATAACAAATAGAGCATTTTTTTAGCAAGCATGCAGCAGTCTACTCCTAGCATTCTCTTTGGTTATTTCAAATCTGTCGAGCCCAACTTATAAATGAGTTTGCAGTTAAGAAGTGGCAAATAAACTCTCTATCATTTACTGATAAACTGGCTTATTCAAGTCTAAAGCTCATTTTCAAGTTTTGGGAGCTACGGGAGCCCCTAAAGCGAAATAAATTGAGATGCTATATAGGACATTTATAT